TATCTACAGTAGCCCAGAGTTGGAACCAACCTAAATGTCCATCAACAGATCACTGGATAAGGAAAATGGGGTATATCTACTCAATAGAATACTACTCTGCCATAAAAAGGAATGAAATTCTACCATTTGCAGCAGTGTGGATGAACTTAGAGAAAATTATAAGTGAAATAAACCAGGCGCAGAAAGAAAAATACTGCATGTCCTCACTCATAATTGAGAGCTAAAAATAAATAAAAGAAGAAAGAAAGAAAGAAAGAAAGAAAGAAAGAAAGAAAGAAAGAAAGAAGGAAAGAAAGAAAGAAAGAAAGAAGGAAAGAAAGAAAGAAAGTATCAATAATCACAAAAAACATTGAACTTTCAAAAGGAGAGAGCAGGACTGAGGTTACCAGAGATGGGAAAGGGGGAGAGGCAGGAGAGGTTAGCAAGAAATTGGTAAAGGGCCACAAGACATTGTATAATGTTGAATATACTAATTAACCTGATTTGAGCATCACACACTGCACATAGGAATTGGTATTCGACACTGTAACCCACAGATCTGCCCAATAAATTATGTTTCTATTAAAAAATAAATAAAAAGAAAAAATAAAAAGAATTGAGACCAATTCAATGCATCACAGTAAGAATATCATGGTGCCATTGTAAAAAATGCTGGACCTAGGTTCTGATCCTAGCTCTGCTCACTCATGATACACTGAGCTTCTACAAAATGGCTTTTCCCCCTCCCAGCTCTGAAATTCTGGGTTTGAGAGGAAGTGATCTCTGATCTATTGTAGTGTCTGGAAAAACAAGACAATTTTCTGTCTAGAGTTTATTCAGTTTCATTCTTCTTACTTTTTTTCTAATTGAAACTAATGACCCTACAGCCATATGCCCAATTAGGACTCACTCAGTAGCCCACATTTATATGAACAAATGAACTTACAATCTTGTCTGGGCTGTACCTTAAGCCACAACCAATCTTTGGCAAAGGAAACTAACTTTTTTTGGTCTGGTGGTCTTGATCAGCTTCCCATTTATGGAGTGAAGAGAAGAATTCTTGTTTAGGATACCTTATCAGGATGGTGATACAGTTAAAATGTAATAATAAATTTGAAATGATTTGACAAAGATATTAATCAGAATGCTCATTCAGCTTCTGGAACACAGGCTAATATAACAGAGGCTCAAACAAGGTAGAAATTAATTTCTCTTTCCCATAGAAGTTTGAACATAAGCAGTTCAGGATTGATATGGCAGTTCTAGGAGGGTGGCTTTACCACTGAATTCTACCAAACCTTTAAAGAGGACTTAATACCAATTCTCTTCAAACTATTCCAAAAATTTGAAACAGAGGCCATTCTCTCAAACTCATTCCATGAGGCCAGCATCACCCTGATACCAAAATCAGAAAAAGATACAACAAAAAAAGAAAACTACAGGGCAATATCTCTGATGAACATAGATTCAAAAATTCTCAACAAAATATTAGCAATCAGAATACAGCAACACATCAAAAAAATTATATACCATGATCAAGTGGGATTCCCTTAGGGGTGCAAGGTTCGTTCGATATACACAAGTGAGTAAATGTGATACACCACATCAACCAGATCAAGGGCAAAAACATGATTATTTCAATAGAGGCAGAAAAAACACCTGACAGAATTCAACACTCCTTTATGATAAAGATTCTTAGCAAATTAGGTATATAAGGAAAGTATCTCAAAACAATAAAAGCCATATATGACGAGCCCACCACCTATATCATTCTGAATGAATAAGAATAGGAATAAGACAAGGATAACCACTATCACCACTCCTGTTTAACGTAGTATGGGAAGTACTAGCCAGAACAATCAAGCAAGAGAAAGAAATAAAGGGTATCCAGACTGGAAAAGACGAAGTCAAACTGCCCCTGTTTGCAGATAACGTGATCCTATACATAGAAAAACCTAAAGACTCTACCAAAAAATTCATAGAGCTAATAAGCAATTTCAGTAAAGTTGCAGGAAACAAAACCAACATGCAAAAGTCAACTGCTTTTTTATATTCCAACAATGAACTTTCGGAAAAAGAAATCAAGAAAGCAAGCCCATTTACAATAGTTACCAAAGAAATAAAATACCTAGGAATCAATTTAACCAAGGAGGTCAAAGATCTCTACAACGAGAACGAAAAATCACTGCTGAAAGAAACAAAAGAGGACACAAAAAGATGGAAAGACATTCTATGCTGTTGGATTGGAAGAATAAACATTGTGAAATGTCCATACTACCCAAACGATCTACAGATTCAATGCAATCTCCTTCAAAATACCAATGACATTCTTCACAGAAATAGAAAAAAAAATCCTAACATTTACGGAACATTAATTTTTAAAAATTTGTTTAGACTTGATTTGTGAACCTAACATGTAGTCTATCCTGGAGAATGTCCCAAGTGCTGATGAGAAGTATATTCTGTAGTTGTTGGATGAAATGTTCTATGGGTATCTGCCACATCCAATTGGTCTAAGGTATAGTCTAAACACTGTTTCTCCATTGATTTTTTGCCTAAATGACTTTTCCAGTGCTGAGAGAGGCATATTCAGGTGCTGAACTATTGTTGTATTGGGGTCTATCTCTTTCTTTAGGTCTGATAGTGTTTGCTTTATACATCTGGGTGTTCCAGTGTTGGGTGCATATATATTTATGATTGTTATGTCTTCTTGCTGGATAGATACCTTTGTCATTATATAGTGGCCTTCTTTGTCTCTTTTTGTGGTTTTTGATTCAAAGTCTATTTTATCCTATATAAGTATAGCTACTCCTGCTCATTTTTGGTTTCCATTTGTGTGGTACATCTTTTTCCATTCCTTCACTACCAGTCTGTGTGCATCTTTACAGGTGAGGTGAGTCTCTTGTAGACAGCATATAGTTGGGTCTAGCTTTTTAACCCAGTCCATCAGTCTGTGTCTTTTGAGTAGGGAGTTTAATCCACTTACATTTAGGGTTGTTATTGAGAGGTATTGTCTTACTCCTGGCATTTCCCCCCTTTTTAGATTATTAAAATATCTTTTCTTCCTTTCTTCACCTTTTATTGTTTGTCTTTGGTGTTTGTTGGTTTTATGAGGTAGTAATATCAAATTTTTTCTTTCGCCTTTGCATTTTTTGTTCTACCAGTGTGTTTTGTTCTTTCTTGTGTATGTGTGGTAGTGATTACTATTTTTTGGATTTCAGATGCATTACTCCCTTGAAAATTTCTTGCAGGACTGGTTGTGTGGTGGTAAACTCCCACAATTGTTGTTTTTATTTTTATTTATTTTTGTCCAAGAAATACACTATTTCTCCCTCATTTCTGAATAACTTTTCTGGGTATAGTATTCTTGGCTGGCAGTTTTTTTCTTTCAGTATTTTGAATATATCATCCCATTTTCTTCTGGCCTATGGAGTTTCTGTTGAGAAGTCTGCTGTTAGTTTGAAAGGGGCTCCATTATAGGTGACTTGATGCTTTTAGGATTCTCTGTCTTTGAACTTTGCTAGTTTGACTTTAATGTGTCTCATAGAGAGTATTTTTTGAATTGAATCTGTTTCAGGATCTTTGAGCCTCCTGGATCTGAAGGTCCATGTCTCTCTCTATACCTGGGAAGTCTGCCATTATTACTTCATTTAATAGGTTTCAATGTCTTTTTCTTTCTCTTCCCATCTAGAACTCCCATGATTTAGATGTTCTTGTGCTTAAAGTTTCTGCTAGTCCTCTTGGATTTTCTTCATTTTTTAAAAGGTTTTTTCCTTTTCCTTTTTATTTTTTTTTATCTTCCTGGGTTATTTAGAAAAGACTCTCTTTGAGATCAGAAATTCTTTCTTCTGCTTGCTCTAACCTGCTGCTTAAGCTCTCAGTTGTGTTTTTTATTTCATTGAATGAGTTCTTCAGTTCCAGGAGTTCTGTTACATTCTTTTGTAAGGTACTAATCTCTTTGCAAATGTCCTTCATATCCTGGATATTTTTTTCTCATTTCATTACCTTGTCTAACTGAGTTTTCTCATATATTGTTGAGTTTCCTTAAGATTGTTGCTTGGAATTCCTTTTCAGATGCTTCAAGGGTTTTCTGCACTATAGGGTCTGGTACTTGAGAATTACTATATTCCTTTTGGTGGTGTCATTTTCTTGGCTTTTCATATTTCTAGTTTCTCTATATTGATATCTGGTCATCTGGTAGAGTATTTTATTACTTCTTTTATTACTTTTGTTACTTTTTTATTACTTTATTACTTCCTTTATTACTCTTGAGTGGGCTTTGATGAGAGAGACTTCCTCCCATAGACATGTTTTATATTGACCATTGGGTAGGGTGTTTTAGTATTGGGTCTGGGTTGGTGCAGTAGTGTAGTCTCTGTATGGGTATCTTGGCTGTATTTAATGTCAGAGTTGTGTGTGATTATCTCCATGGCCTAGGCACTAGGGCACTTAGTGATTCTTTGCTGAGGTTAGTGACACTGCGCTGGGTGATTGAGGATGTGGGCCAGCTCTCGAGTTCTTAGGAGACATGCCTGGTTGCCCTGTTGCTCTTTGGCTAGGGTGGATAACCTTGGGTGGGCTTGCTGGCACCTCAGCTAGCATTCTGTGACCCTGATCGGTGCTCTGGAGTGATCTGAAGGTCTTCAGCTTAAATGGGTGACTGGAGAAGATAATAAAATCCTCAAACAAATTGGGTGTAGCCTCCATATGATTCTGGGGACTAATGAGGAGAAACGGAGGATAATGGAAGAAGGATGTGTTTCACGTTAAACTTAGAGGCTGCTGTAACTCATTATGTGTTATGTCATCTAATTCTTCTGACAACCAAAATGGAGTATGCCCGTTTTGCAGATGAGTAAGTTGAGGCTCAGTGAGGGTCAGTGTTTTGCCCCTACCTGCCAGATGTGCAATTATGAAGTTAGTATTTGAATACAGGTTGGTTTAACCCCCAAACCTGGCTTTTTTTCAATCCACTATTTTGGTTTGTGGAGTGCTGAGAGAGGGGAATCTGTGGGTTAAGAAGTGAAGGAAAAGGTAAAAAACTTTAGAAAGTTAGCTAATGGGACTGACTCCCAAGGCGGACACTCTTTGGATATGTTAACTGAACTAGCAGAACCCAAGCTACTCACCCTCATCTTAGGGATTCCTGCTGGCATGAGTGGGGTGGGTTGCTAACCATTGCTAGATGGGCTAATTACCTCCCAGAAACTGCAACTAACTTAGGCAGTCATGAAGAGAAGACACAGGAGACACGATATTAATCCAATATCATTAGATAGTTCTATTATCTATTGGGATGAAGACCATGTTTCCCAAGTCATGTATTAGAATGCATGTTCTGCCAAGTATGTTTGTACCCACCAAGATGGTCAGGAAAAATATTTATAATTGGACCATAAGTCATGGTATCTTTTGGTCAAGTATTACTTGAATTAGTTATCTATTGCTATGTAATAATATTACTCACAAACTTAATATCTTAAAGCAAGATGCATTCATTATCTCACAGTTTCTGTGGGTCGGGGTCTGTGCATGACTTAGCCACAATCAAGGTGTAGGCCAGGGTTGGGTTCTCACCTGGGCTTGACTGGGGAAGGATCTGCTTCTAAGCTTATTTGGCTATTGGCAGCATTCAGTTCCTTGAAGTCTTCCAGACTAAGGAAGTATTCAGTGTTTTGCTGCTTACTACCACTATTACCTTAAACAACTTCCTTCCAAGGAACTTCAGTTGGAAGCCGCTCTTCGTTTCTTGTCATGTGGCCCTATGACAGCTCACAACATGGCAGCGTGCTTCTTCAAAGTGAACAAGAGAGCTCGTCTGCTTGCAGGGTGGACACTGTAATCTTACATAACGTAATCACATACATGTAATCAAGTACATCCTGTCACCTTTGCCATAGTCTGTTTCTTAGAAGGAGGTCACAGGCCTACACTGAAAGGGAGAGGATTAGGCAAGGGTTTGGACACCAGGAGGAGGAGTCATGGGGCCACCTTACAGTCTGTCTCCCACATTGTCTTACATCTGACATGCAGGACAGAGAGGGGTTGTAGGAAGCCAGGTCCAGTGAGAGTGGCTCTGTGTAAGGTGCCTCTCAGCACCTGGGAACTTTCTTTGGGGATAAGAGAGCCAGAGGCAGCCCCTTCTTTGGTTTCTTTAGGAGGACTTCCTGGAGGAGGTAGGATTTTAGGAACTATTTGAATGACAGGACAGAAGCAGTTTGGTAGACTTTTAAGGAAGAATGATTTAGATAAGTAGGTTGGGAAACAGTATAGAGGCTGGAGTGGGAGGACTGAACTTACATTCTTTAAAAAATTGTTTTAAAGCATTGTCTCCTGAGGCAATAGCTATGCAATTCATTGACCATGGGGCCCGGTCTGCCCAAGTGATTTTTTTCTCTTCTTTTGCAGGTGTGGCAGTGTGGAGGGAAGATTGAGGTCTTACCCTGCTCCCGGGTTGCTCACCTAGAGAGATACCACAAGCCCTATGCCTTGGATCTGAGCCCTTTCATGAAGCGCAATGCACTGCGAGTGGCTGAAATCTGGATGGATGAGCACAAACACATGGTCTACTTGGCCTGGAACATACCTCTCCAGGTTTGTCATGGGATTGAGAGAAGCAGGAAAAAATGAAAGGAAGAGGTAATGGTGGGGAAGGGAAGGGATGGAGCAAAAGTGTCCTCCCAGCTCTAAGGAATTAGGGTGAGCTCCCGATGGTGTGTTGGCGACACTGAACGTTTATGTAACAATTCTATGTTCTGGGCACTGTTTTACATATTAACTCATTAACCATCACACCATACCTATGCGGTAGGTTTTATTCTTATTTTTCTAAGCTTTACGGATGAGGAAACTGATGCGTAGAGAGTTGGAGGGCACTTGTTTAAGGAAGTACAGGTAGTAAGTAGCAAAGATTCAAACTAAGGAAGTCTGGCTTCTAAATTCCATGTTCTTCCTCCTTCTTCTAGAGTGGGACATTCCTTGAAGGGTGGGGTTGGGCATCAGGAATTCACTGTCTCAAGAGGACATGAATATCACAGGCAGGACATGGGGTGGTGCGAGGAGGCGCTGTAATCCTATTGGATGCACAAGAATGAGGATGACCTTGGCTCAGCCCACATCTTCGGCCCCGGCTGCCTGAGGCTGCTGTGACGTGCTCTCTCCTGTTCCTGGTCTCTGGCTCTGGGCTCAGACATGCACAGGGAGCAGTCATCTTGTGGACAACCTCTTACCCTTCATGGTGCTGGATCCTAAAGTAGCCCCAGAAAGCCAGGGAGTCGGGATAGAGGGAGACCATGGAATGGATCTAGAAGGGAAAGTCCAGAAACGAGATAAGGTCAGGAGCCAGGTAAACACTGGGAGCGCTAGTTCTGGAGAATGTATAAATGTGCATTAATGCCTGAGCCTTCTTTAAAGTAATCAAAATGCTTCCTTTAGTAACCCGAAGTGCCAGTTATCTCTCACAGTCAGCTCATGGCTTGAAGAGATGGGTAAGAACGTATTGTAGCACCCCAGTCTACCAGAGGTATGACTGGAAAACATGTCCCTCCAGGTCATCCTCAGCTTTTTCATCTCTACAGAGTCACATTGTGACAGTCCCAAGCTATGAAGGGCATTGAACTTCTCCAGGGGATGATCCGAAACAAACCACAGAGGAAAATTCTCAAAAGGGGCCAGATACACAAGTGGTTTCTGCATTTCCTTCTCAACTTTGCCTCTCTGGTAGTCTTTCACTTCGATTTCCTGCAAATATCACTTCCAAAAGTATCCTTTAACCTCCAAATCTTGGTGCCAGAATACTCCTTTTGAAAGCCTTTTCTGGCTACCATGAGGCATATTTTGTGCCGTATTGATGTAAATCTCACTTCAAACAGGAGTGGTCTGCGCCAGCTTGCTAGGACAAGAAGTAAACCCGAGAGGCCCCGCTACACAGGCCTTGCAACTGTCTTTGAAACCAGCAGAGGCTTCTAGGGTTCAAGGTTTTCCCACTTTTCCTGGAAATACAAATTATCAAGGTTACCTCAGAGGCTATCTGGAAAATAATCAGTTCCTCATGTGCGGCCCATACCCACGGGGGAGTCGGGGAGGCACAGAAGTGCTTGGTGTTTTATTTACAGAACTCTGGAATCGACTATGGAGACATTTCTTCCAGAGTGGCGCTCCGGGAGAAACTGAAATGTAAAACTTTTGACTGGTACCTGAAAAATGTTTATCCAATTCTGAAGCCAATCCACAGCATCGTGGGCTATGGAAGAGTACGTATTATGAAATAGCAGTTTAGATTTTAAATGTTTGACTATAAAAGACAATGAAACCTGAATCCCATGACTTCCCAGCCAAGGTTTTCCAAAATCCATGCTGCCCAAGAGCCTCTTCCTCCCCACAACTCCTTCCTTGGCTCTTTGCCCTTGGACCCTCTCAGCTTTCTTTCTTCTCTTCTCCCCAAACCCCAGATCTTTTCCTTCTCTGCCTCCAGCCCCGACCCTGTTTCTCAGCCTTTCCCACCCAGACTCCTGCAGGGGCTCGTCTCTCCATGTGCTGTGACAGCTGAGGTGGGTGGCTGTTCCCAGGCAGCGTGTGCCACAGCGGTGTCTGTTTCCTAGAGTTCTGCAAGTGGCTGCCAGGATCCCAGCCCTCTCCACCTTTGGCTGGTGGCTCCTGGCACCCTTGGTGTACTGCGGGAAATGCAGGGCCCCGGGGAAGCTCGGGGCCCTCTTTCTCTGCTTCTTTCCAACAGTGTGTCTGCCGTGCGCTTTGCCCCTTCAGATGAAAAACACACTGGATAAAAATGTCTGCCTGGATCGAGGACCTGTTCCAGCCAGCACCCCCATCATGTATCCCTGCCACAAATACAATGCTCAGGTATCTTCCACAATCTTCCCTGCCCTACAGGGTGAGTGTGTGAGGCTCAGCCCCTTGCAAACCTCACCAGATTTAGACTTGGTGTTAGGTGAGGGGGCGGCAGAAGCTGAGTGTCCTGGGTAATGGGTATGGGTGACTCCCAAACCTGCACTTGTGACTCAGCGCTGCCTTGTTCATTCAGTCATGGCAAGATGGTTCCATTTTAGGCACAGGGAGGAAAGGTGGAAAGGCGAGCCTCTGCTGCATCCATCCTGCACGGTGATATTGTCATTGACAGTCACCTCGTTCCCTTCCTCACCCCTCCTCCCACTGCTCCTTGTATGCCCTGGAGAGTGGACAGCTGAAGCCACCTGTGCTTCTGCTGTAGGGAAGCAAACAGAGGGCCAGCGAAGACAGAGGCTGAACGGAAGTCCCTCCAGGGGATGGAAACCATCTGACACCAAGTGGAGGGTGCAGCCAGGGGACATTTTTACTGAGCAAGGTAGTGTCAGATTGGAAATTTGAAAGTTTTCCTAATGACAGGCCAATGGCTGGGGCTTACAGTGACAGCTTCTGAAGTTCAGCTGTGTGTTTTCCTCAAAGACAGACTCCCTCCTTCACGCAAGCCATGATTCTGTTGGAGCCCTTGTAGGGAAGGAAGTGGGCTAGGTTCCCCCGCCCCATGCCTGGCCGTCTCCCAGGAATCATCTAGGAGTTGGGGAGAAAGAAGCAGAGGTGACTCCCTGCTGCCCGAGAAAGTTCAGAGCTTCTCATGCATCTGAGTGTCTGGAAAACTCCAGAGCGGTCTCTGCAGGGCTGAGGCCTCCCGCTCACTGCACCCACACGGGTCCTTTTGCTCTTTTAGAACGTCTACTACCACCTAACTGGGGAGTTCTATATAGGACAACTGATTGCAGAGGCAAATACTGATGATCACTGCCTGACGGACCCTGGCTCTGGGGAGAAGCCCACTTTAGAGCCATGTTCCATGGCAGCTAGGAACGGACTGCACATATATTGGGATTTTAAACAGGTGGGTTGCACTTTTTTTTTTTTTCCTTTTTGTCTTTTTTACTGACCAGTAACGGGATTGCAACCCTCGGTGTTGCGCCTGCACCGCGCTCAGCCAGTGAGCGGGAACCTGTCTCCACGTGGGATCCGAACCCTCGGCGGGAGCGCCACCACGCTCCCAAGCAGCACACTCTCCAGTGCGCCACCGGGCCGGCCCACACTCTTTTTTAAAGGATAGATATATTCAAATATAGTATGAGAGGTTCAGATTTGATTTGATAGTCTTCTAGGAAAATTAATTTTTGTGGCAACATGTAGAGAAAAGACTGGAAACAGGAAACTGGGTATGAAACATTGAGTCTCTCAACTAAGGCAGGGGTGGTTAAGGAGAAGAGAGACTGGAGTCTGTTATAGCTTAATAATTAAGAGTTTGGCCTCAAATCCTAGCTCAGGCATCTTTAGCAAGTTCCTTACCCTCTCCAAAGCTCGGTTTTCTCATCAATAAAATGGAGATAATAATATCTACTTTATGGGTCTGTGGGAAGATTAAATGAGATATTTTATGTAAAGTATTTAGCGTGGGGCCTGGCATGTAAGAGTGTTCAATAAATATTAGCCATTGTAATTAGTTTTATTATTAATGATCACTCTGGAGTATGGAGCACCATGCTGAAATTTGACAGGGATTGATGTAAAAGCCCTGCCTTTAACTTCGACATCAAATGACCAAGAATGGGGTGGAGAGAATCTGGCAGATTCATGTGACCATGACATGAGAGACTTGGCTGACCACAGTCCCTGTGTGAGTTTCCTGTGTGTTGGGGCTGCTCCAAAAGCGTATGCATCCTTAGGCTACTTGGGTGAGAATGTGATGTCCTGATGGAAGCAGGCAATGCCTGTCTGTGACCACATCTCTGAACATGTTGGTACTGTGTTGGGTTCAGGTGCCACATTTTAAGAAATGTGAACAATCTAGCTCAGCAACTTTTAACTTTTTAAAGTTAATAATGGCTTTGAGAATTTGCTGCTAGCTGTAGACTCTCTCTCCAGGAAAACATATGAGGGGACTTCGAAATCTTCATGGAAAAATGAAATTAAAAGATAGACATAAAAAATATTAACTTTATTTCTCAACATAAACTCTATCAAGTTCAAGACACTTTCATAAGTGATGATACCAGTCGTTTAGTCAATTCCTAAAGAACTGAGGGTCCTGGGAATTTAACCATGTCAATGCAGTCTTTTTTTTTTTTTTTTTTTACATTATTAACTGAAGAAAAGTAGGCACCCTTTGAAGATTAAGTTTAGGACGCAAAAAGAAGTCAGAAGGAGCCAAATCAGGACTAGAAGTTGGGTGCCTAATGATTTCTCATCAAAACTCTGGCTAAATTTCCCTTTTTTGATGAAAGGAATGAGCAGGAACATTGTCAAGGTGGAGAAGGACTCTCTGGTGAAGCTCTTGGGAGTTTTTCTGCTGAAGCTTTAGCTAACTTTCTCCAAACAATTTCATAATAAGCAGATGTTATTCTTTGGCTCTTCAGAAAGTCAACAAGCAAAATTCCTTGAGCATCCTCCAAAACAGTTGCCATAACCTTTGTGTTTAACCTGCACATTTTTGCTTTAACTGGGCCACTTCCACCTCTTAGTAGCCATTGCTTTGATTGTGCTGTGTCTTCAGGATGGTACTGGAAAAGCCATGTTTCGTCTCCTGTTACACTTCTGCAAAGAAATACTTCAGGATCTTGATTCCACTTGCTTGAAATGCTCATTGAAAGTTCTGCTCTTGTCTGCAGCTGACCTGGGCACAACAATTTTGGCATCCATCAAGCAATAAGTTTGCTCAACTGTAATTTTTCAGTCAATCTTGTGTAAACTGAATCAACTGAGATGTCTGTGGTGTTGGCTGTTGTTTTTACTGTTAATTGGCAGTCCTTTTCAATTAGGGCACAAGCAAGATTAATTTTTTCCTCCTAAATTTATGTGGATGGTCTACAGCTGCTGTGGGCTTCATCTTCAACATTGTCTCATCCTTTCTTAAAATGAGTTATCTATTTGTTAACTGCTGATTTCCTTGGGGCATTGTTCCCATAAACTTTTCAAAAGCATCAGTGACTTCACCACTCTTCTACCCAGGCTTCAACACACATTTGATGTTTGTTCTCGTTTCAGTTTTAGCAGAATTAGTGTTGCTCTGACAGGGATTCTTTTCACAAGGCTGTCTTATCCTTCTTAGTGAATCAAACTAGATCATGTTTAGGTGTGTTATAGCAAGTTAGTAGAAGTTTATTTTGGTGCAAAACATTTTTGCAATCCGTGCATGGTTTTTTCATAATGCACATTGTCCATGAACTTTTTGAAGATCCCTCATACGTATGCACCTATGTGAAAAATTTCACTTGTAATATCAGAGGGTGTTTGCATCCTAGATTAAGTCTCCCTGAACTAGAAAATATCAATTAGAAGACAAAGAAGCGTGTTGTCTTCCCAGTCCCTGTGTCTGGCTCTAAGCTCCAATTATTTAGAACTACGTGTAATTCAGCAAGAGGCCATGCTCTCCATTACCTCAGGCTCCTTTGCTGGTGTTATTCCCTCTCCTCCCACCTCTCCACCAGGCCAACCATAAAGTGTTCCTCTGGTCTTTGACATTGTCTCCTTCAGGAAGCCTCCTTGACCCTGCAGGAGGGGGATGGAAGGAGAAGAGTCGCTCTCAGGCCCCTCTCATAGCTTTGTCTCACCATCTCTTGTGGCTGCCTGCTCTCTTGCTTCTTTCTGAGAGCATCTGAGAGCAGACGAGATTGGGCATGTATCTTGCTTCTTCCATCACTAGGCTGTGTGCTGGGGGGCAGGGCCTGGGCTTTGTCTGCTGTTTTATCTCTAGCACCCAGCACAACACCTGAAACACTGCGTGCATTCAATAAATGGTTGTGGAACAAATGAAAGATTGGCCGAGCTGGAGGTATTAGTTTGGAGAGATGAACCTGAAGGAAGGACGATGCTGTCCTCATGAGGAACAGGGAGTAGTCTCATTCGTCGTCACAGGAGGGCGGAAGGGAGACCTGTGGCTACAGATTAGGGAGGCAGGTTTTTGAGTTCATCTAAGGAGCGGGGGGGGGGGGGGGGGGTTTC